ATTTAATTTAACTAATAAAATTAATTAATAATTAAAATCATTAAAATTTAATAATTAATAAATTAAATTAATTAATTAATTAATCACACATAATGAATAATTCCGATCCTACTAAGACACGGACGAAAAGTTAAGACTTTTCGCGATCCTTAAAAAAATTGTGATAACTTTAACATTTTTTTACTATCGGAATAGTCATCCCCAATAAAAGTTGCAACACAAAAATTACCAAATAATTTTGGGCTAAATGTTAAAAAAAAAAAATTTTTGGGCTAAAATTCTACAAAAAAGAAAAGTCTTCAAATTATCGATTTCTACAAATTACCTCTAATAGGCACACAAAATTCCTTCTCAACCTCTTCAGCCATGCTCTCTTCCCCAAAATTCCTTAACCCTAAACTCAAAACCTTGACCACGTACTCCCCAACCTTTTTATCAAAACCGACCCCACTTTTCTTCATCAACTTAAAAATCCTGACCGTTGATTCCTTCCTCTCGGCCCCAATCACGCCCTTCATCAGCCTCACCAGCCCCTTGTCATCATCACAGTTGATCTCCTCCATCTGATCAATCAAGCCGTCAATCTCTTCCATCAGACGGTTCCTAGCCAAGGCCACCACCATATCAGCGTACAGAGCGAGGTCCGGGGGTGGGTACTCTGAGCAAATGGTGGAGAATACGTGGAGGGCGAGGACGCACTGTTCTTGGCGGAGGAGTTCACGGAGCGTAGCGAGGAGGTCGGATTTGATGAGGCGGGAGAGAGAAGGGAGAGTGGCATCCGCCGGCGACGATGACGATGATTTCCTGTACGCGCGTTTGAGGGATTGGATGGCCTGGATTGCTTCGGAGCTTAGGATGCGACCCTTGACGAGAGGTCCACGGTTGTCCCGTCGGCCACACCGGATGGAGATGAAGCTCAGGTGGGCTGAGAGTCTGGCGTTTTGGGGTTTTGGAGAGAGGAAATGAGTGAGCGAAGCGGGGTTACAGCGAAGGGAAGAAGCCATGGAAATGCTGCGAATCGCCAAAAAAAACTTGGGGGGAAGCACTGAGGAAGAAGATAGTGTTGAAAACGATTTGTAATCGTTTTGCCCTTTCAAGGTGGAAAAAATTAAACTCGTCGACAGCAGGATTCGAACCTGCGCAGGCAAAGCCCAACAGATTTCGAGTCTGTCTCCTTAACCACTCGGACATATCGACAGGAATAATAGAAGTGGCTACGCATACTTATATAACAGAAATTGAAGTGCAGTCTGCCCTACCCATAACCATCTTCCAATGTAAGGACAAAGTCGCTCTTATAATGGGTTGTTTAAAGTAATTTTTTTTTCTTTATTTTTCGAACAGGTACAATTTAGAGGTAAGGAATGAGGAATTGTGACGTGGCAATGCAATGGTTTTGATCATTATTAAAGTATTGAATATACTTA